AATACCACTACGGTAACACTCCACCTTTTCAATTTTGCACTTTTGCGGTTTTCAAGATATTATTCTTTTGTTTTATTTTGTGTATGCAAAGTTGAATAAAGGTGCATTATTATTTAAATGTCAGTTTCTACCCGACTATACAGATTGTTTCGAAAAAAATGAACCAAAAATGCAAATGAGGATTTCGGTGGCTGATCTAAAACTATTGGTCTTCTGACGAATTTGATATGATGAGATACTGTCCCCTGAAGGGCGCCACTGTAAATATATCTTCAGTGATTTTTGAACAACGCTCTATCATTCAACGAAACTTTGACAGTATACTAGTTGGGGGCGCACCATTAGCTCAATTATAGACCCAGGGACGGACTAGCCTTAGGAAGAGATTTTTTTTTAATTTGTATAACAGTGACACACTATAATATTTTTATCAGACAAAGCAAGGCAAAAAATGTATTCTTTCTTGTTAAAGGAAACCAACCTCTATTGAGAATAGCAGTCTTTTTCAGTACTGCCCCAATCTATACACACTGCAGCTAAATCCCAAAAAGTTGAAAAAAATCATTTAATTTGGTCACCAACCAACATATCCGAATTAGTGCAATGATAAAACAGACTGAAATAAAACTGTTTTTCTCAGTTTATAGAGCTCAAAGAAGTATCAATTTTTCTAAAAATACTACTTCTAGGCCATTGTCATACCGGCTATAAAAATAATGTTGCGTTAGGGCTAGTCCATTCCTGGCAATCTAAGTTATTTAATCTTTTCTGTGTACATCGCGTTTGAGGCCTCAGCTTGTTACCATACTGCCAAAGTATCGTGGTTCCAAAGTTAGGAAGGTCGAAAGGAACCGGTATTTTGAAAACCGTGGAAGAGCAAAATAGTTTTAGGATAGTTCAAGGAATCACACCTTCAAGTTTTGGAAACACCATGTATATGAATGCGTGCATGCATATGTGAGAGAGCGAGGGCGACCTTGAGGTCGTTGACAGCTGCATCATAGCCGCGATCGAAGCGGCGTAATTTGTTGATTTGTGTGGCCGACGCTATAAGGTTGTGTTGATAACGCTATAACATACAGCGTATTATGTTATCAGAGACAGCTGCAGAAAGTGTGCCGCCAGCAGCGTTAATCTGGCTACTATGCCCATTTATCCTTCGGTTGGGTCAAAACGAAATAAAAAAGTTGGCTGGCTTCATAAACGACTAAGTTCAGCACAAGTTATACCCTCTGAGAAAAGTTAGTTACGAACATGCACAAGAAAGGAATGACCTGTATCAAGTTGGTCAAACAGGCCCATCAATTAGTCCTTATGCACTATTTCCCTGCTCTGCCGATTCCGTCTTGCTACGTTGCCCCTTCCCATGTCTGATCGGACCGTGCGTTGGACGCGGTAGCGTCCATCGCGGCACCGCTGCAACGAGGACAGAATATTTAGTCAGACCGGTATGCTAGGCGGTGAGCTCAGTTAGCAGAAGAAGACGCGTATCAAAAACATTTTCATACCATCGTTTCAATGGCGAATGTACGGGAAGTATGTGATGCGTGAAATATGGCTAAGAGGCACGTATACTACAGGAGTTGTACACATACTACCCTCTGACAATTTTTTACATAGCCCAATTTCTTACCCCCACAAATCGTTTTCTGAAAATGATCAGAAGCCCCTGCAATGACAAAAAACGAAGCTTGAGGCATTTCTATTTTTTTCGTGTTTTTACCTACCTACGCTCCGCCTCCAGTGAACCAAATTCTGATGGAGACAGCCTTACGCCGAATCCCCAGAACAATATCAAGCCAATCATGTCATTTCATTTGAAAACTGAAACAAAAGAACTAATTACAATGTCAAAAATATATTTACTTTGGTTTATAAGTTAACTTCAAAACACCCCTTCAAGGGTTCAGCTTCTGGTATTCCAACTATGGATGTTTGGTCGATCATTAAAAAAAAACGGTAGAATCATTTTCACTTCTCTAAGTTATTGTTTCAGTTGTAATGATGATTCACCAATGCTTTTTTCAAGCGAAAGCATTACCACCTCCCAGAACCGAACGTTAGGCCCCCACCCAACTTCAATGAATTCTCATAGACATAAAGATATTCCAATCAAATTGGCCATGATTAACGCGTGAAAGTGACATTAAAGGTGTAAAATGTTACAAGCTTATTTAAATACTACAAATAATGTCATGGCTTTGGCTGATCGACCTGAACAGGAATACATTTAATAATTTTATTTTTACTCACAACTTTATAACGAAGCAGAATAACTAATGACGGTTTTTACTTGTTTGTATACCCTTTTTAATGATTGATAATGATAGTTTCATTATATTTAAGGTTTTAGGAAAAAAAATGAACAAAACTAACACAACCCAACCTCCGTTACAAACACGCATTAAAGACTTTTGAAACTGAACCAAGACAGCAAAAATCAATAAAGCCGATCAGAAGATAGACTACTTTTTTAAAATTACTATGAATCGTTGCCACCCGAAAGCGTAAAACAATAGCACGAATAATATTGAATTTTAGAGATGTGTATATACAGTTGAGATTTTCTTTTCACGACGAATAGATATTGGAACAATGGGCAGTTTTTTCTAGTAACATATACACTAAAGTCTTAAGGTTACCGAGATGTGAGACTAAGGTCCTGCACCTGGATTAGATCAAGCGTGATCACGTACAACGTGGTTCAGTACTCAATCCAGACGCTCGCCGCGTTTGTAAACAAAACCTTTACACATCGGTTCTAAAAAAATATCACAGCCTTACACTAATATCGAAGTTGTCGTCCATATTAATTTAATTGACAGTGATTGTCTTTGAAATGCTATCGGGCTTCGCGAGTTCATGCAGATCGTGTTTAAAGATCCTTTGTGATTTCTCCTTTTGTTTGGGGCGAAATGAAGTGTTTGGTGTAGAAGGCGAATGAATTCACCTATACGTGACAGAGTTCTACTTGAAATTTATTCTCGACGAACGGTGAATATGTTATCATTTTTCACCACATATTAGCTGTCTTATTGCAAACGTGGTTGTTTCTCAAAAGGAAATTCCCATCTATCAGGACAGTCTGTATTGGCATATCGACTGACCTCTTGAGTCCTTTATAACTGGTTCAGATTTTGATAAAATTTTGGCGTAAGGTCAGTACTATGCTAAAGATAAGAAATCTGGATGTATTCTTAAAAAATCGATGCAGCTGCATTAATGGAGGATAAACGGAATATTGAAATGCCGCCAAGTTCTTGTTCCTCTTTTTTAGTGTTTACGATGATTTTGGTAATTGAGGAGCGTAGTCAAAATCATTTTTGAGGGCTAAGGATATTGGAATGAGGTACCGCTGCACTTTTCCGTCTTTACTCTACAGGCAGAAGGAGAACATGCTCTTAACCCTGTCATAGTAGGGAGCCTCAAACGCTCAAAAATCAAATAAAATTTCGAAAAAATGTTCGCCTACACTTTCCCCTCCTTTGTAAGGTCACGAAGCTGATGTAGTAGTTATATTTTGCTAAATTATTCAAGAGGCATTCAACACTTATGTTGGTATTTCAGTACCTCCAATCAATTTAGACAAAAGTATATATAATAAAAATAAATGTCAAAATTTTCAAACCTTATAATGTGGCATACCTACTATTTAACTTTATCATTTTCGTTGACAAACCGAGCTATAAGAAGCAATATATACGCGCCTGTGCCTGACTGAGCTTCCCAAAGATATGCCTGTATTAAAAATGGCTGTGAGACGCCTGCTGGCTTACTCAGTGGCAATGCACTAATGGAAATACACAATTAAAATTTTATGAGTTCACTTTGGAGAACTTTTACGACACTTGTACATAAATTCACCGTGAACGCTTATTTTATTTTTGACAGATAAATATTACTGCCTGTGCATTCGTGCACACTTTCAAAACACACGCCAGTTTATTGTCCTGACTCGACTGAGCGGCTATAGGATTTCTTTTCCGATTTAATTTTTCATAGTAAATGAGAACATTACGATGCAAGCTGATGCTACGGTTATTCACATGGTGACTCATTTTGTAATTTTTAAATTACATAGGCAATCTGTAGTAATTTTCTGCATCGCCCAACTTCGGTGTAAAACTTTGTTATACGTACTTGTCGAAACGGAGATTACAACATCGATAAAATGGCACAACTCCCTTTTTGATGCGTGCACCGGAGCAGACCCATCCTTATAAGGCAATAAACTGGATTGGCACACAATGACATACTATTTCTATCAGAAAACCTTCATAGATGAACCTGAATTACTAACCACAGTCTAAGTCGAAAGGTCGATGTCGAGGAGTTCCACATAATAGTGTTTGGATAATTCTTCGCCTGATAACATCTGTAAAATGCATTTCGTTTTGGCTCCAGGTCATACATACTATGCCGTACCTATATAAAAGGCAGTAGAATGAAAAGATCGAAGTCAGAGAAAATTGAGTTCTTGATTCTTCCAAACTAAATAAATAGTATTATTACGATAGAACAAAAAGTAAATGAATATTGCAAAGTTACATGACTTTATACAGAGTCATCCAGAAGTGATTTCGGGTCATAATTGTTGTTAAGGTCTACAATAAATGACATTTCGTATTTAATTGCTGTAAGTCAAAAATCAGGGACATGTGCTTTACTGCTTTTATACTCTGCCTTTTATCGTAGTTTTCATAATATATCCATATTATTTTTTCAAAGGAAAAACGTAGTATTTCAGAATTTTATTTCACTTTCCTGTAATTTGGTCATATTGAAATTCACATAAGCAGCACAAAAATGAGCCTTTTCAAAATCTGATAATTCAATTCAACGTCTATGATTACATTTTGATTGATTACGTTCAACAAACGTAATTATATAAATAAACTAGAAAAAGCATGTTTTCTTATACGCTAAGTTAAGCGAAGCATAATATCTATCAAAATTATTCTTTCGGAGCTTCTTTTTTATATACTCCAACTACCACCAAGGCCTAAGGCCTAAACACCCATTGTGTACCGTGGGGCTATAGCGGGATACAGGGGAAAGGGATAACGCCACACGGACTCTGGCGTGGGAACACGTGTGCATGCAACATGCACACATTCTGGCTCCGCTTACAAGATCCGCCGGGTGGTACTTCCGCGTTCGACAGTCAAAGATCATCTACCACCTTCGGACAATCACAACATCCATAGCCAAGAGAAAAGAGATTCAAACCCGCACAACGCACGGCAAACTGATCAACAGACCGAAGAGTCTACTACTGCGGCCACCGCTGCTGCCTGGAGCTAAAGAAATTGTTTATAATGGCAAGTACTTATATTAATTCACACATGAAAAATCAGAATAAGTAAACATCATGACAGGTTATAAAAGGGTAAAAAGACTGTACTTGTATTATACAGAGAATAAAAGCAGTATAGTTTGAAGACTACTGCGTTTTTGATAAACTGGTTTACTGCTCTTACGCACGAGATGTAGGTAAAATGAAATGTTTGACAAAGTGAAAAGCTAACTATTCTTGTTAAATAGCGTGATCAATTATGTATTTTGTAATTGTAACTATAACAGAAATACATTGGCGTCAAAAGTTAAAAAAGGCAGTAAATGGACTTTACGGCAGTATAGTCAGTTCACCATCATTTTCCGCAAGCTAATAAGGAACGAGGTTATGTATTCCGAAAAAATAGCGAAACACTCGGCACACAGACCAGTGAACGACACTATGACTCAATATAATTTTTTGAAAACTGCCGAGCATTTCAATTAAGAGCAAAATTACATGAGACACGAGGTGAGCAATCAAGATTCCTTGTTTTTCTTGAGCAGCAAAGATGTATTTCAAGCACAATAATAACAATATTGTTTTAATGGAGCACCATGTACGCTTATATAGGAATATACGAAACATAAACATTGCCCGTAATGGGAAATGCGATATTCGTCGAGTTTTAATAGTTTGTACAATAAAATTGTTATACTAAATATAAGACTAGTTTATACAGTGGTGTTGCACGGCTATAAAATATTGACGACTGTTATCAGCTCAATCTACTAGATTGTGCACCATAGCCAATGTGAATAAAAGAGCATTTACGAGCGTTTATTTTTAATGGTGATTAACGTCACTTATTTCCATGCAGGGAGAGTACTTTACATTACGATCGAGAACTGCTATTCTTATCGTTGATTCCCTGAGGTGCTAATCAATTGCGGTTGCGGAGCCGCTGAATTCAGGCGCATCTAAACATCAAGGCTCTAAGCATAGGTATGTTACTTCTTAAGTGACTCTTTGTTCCTATTGCATTTATAAGTCCTATCCGAGTAGGCGTATCGCCGGAAAAACGCCGAGATACTCGCTGCATTCTTTCCCAACTTTATTTTCTTTTTTACTTCTGGCATACAAACAGAATTAAACAAACACTGCGGAATTAACGTCAGATACTCAAAAATAGTTAGAGCCTTTTAAATGATTACTTAGGTTACTTCTGATGCTGCGTATCATCAAAATCATATCTAGTAGGGGCATCGCAAGTGTAGTTACTGTATTGTTTTTTGAAATACTTTGATGTTAGCCTCATATCACAATATTTTTAGTGAAGCTCTGCGACCTTTATGACTATATTGCTAATTGGAAACTGTTGGGCTAGGCGTATCTGTTAACCCACTGTTTTAGCCTTGCAAAGTCTACCGTAGCTCGGTTTTTATTTTTAATTAAACTACTTTCAGTTGAGCCTAAATCCACGTTTTCTACACAAATTAGGTTTTTTAACCAGACCTCATCTGAACAGATGCATTTTGTTTTATCAGTTTTTCTTTCCGTCTCCGTTGCATCAGATGAAAAATCTAAAAAGAGACTATTTGTTACAAATTGACCCAAAATTTATATGGAATATAGGTAGGTTTTTTTAACAATTTTAACCAGAAGAAGTGATACGGATGGAAAGTCGAAAATACAATAGCTCAAAGGAACTTCATGATTTTTTCCAACTTAATGAACTAAGGATGAATGAAGTAAGATAGATCCTTTGCTAAAATATTCAAGGCGCTTCTTAAAGTCAACTTAAATATTATGTAAAACCGTAAAAAATCAACGTGATGCAAATTGGCAGCCTGCCAATCTGTTTATACCAGAGTATGCAGAAGTTCAAGGAAAATTCTTTGACTGAAAAAGGTTATATCATGATCATCTGTTTGGCAAAATTTTGCTTAACCAGTTTGGGAAAACAGAAAATTGCATTAAAATGTACAACTATTGTAAGTATTTGGAACAGTGATCGTATTCCATTCTTTATATTAACCCGTAACCGGTGAGGTGCCACTTTTGTCACCTTGAGTGTGATGTGGAGTCTCTCAGACTCCCTAGTATTTTTTTAGAATTCGAATCAGTACCTGTTTTATTTCAGTTTTATGGTATAGTCTGGAGTCTATTTATGGTATGTATTTAAATTTGGTTTGTTATAAATCTTATTATAAACATCAAATCTGATGATTATCCTTAGCCTTCTTCATATCTACTCGTCTTGGGCCGCTGTATTTTTGACGCATTTGTTCCAACTTTTTGTTCGTAGAAGTTACGATAATGGATACTACTTTTTCAGTGAACAAAGTGCTCAAAATTTTAACTGGATTTGCTTCATGTCGTGAATTTAGAGCTTCGTCTTTCAGACCAAGTATTATATTATAGCTTTTTTTCATAAAAGTGTGTTTTTTCTGTAGTCGAATCGTTAAAGCTATTTTCACTTGAAAATGACTTCTGCGTTATATCATCGTCGGGCAGAAATTGTTCTTCATCATCCGGAGTCTGCTCGCTGTCGTGGTCACTCACAATTTCACTGCTATACCATCGTGAGCGTACTCTCATAGTGTTTACCGTTTATTGTAACAGTCACTTTTAATGTATTGGCTTCCTTCTAAAATATCATATATGTAAAAAAAAAACATTAAAATTATCAACCACAAAAACTTACGATAAGAGTGAGGTGGAGTCTGTGAGACCCCCTGACGTATAACAACACAAGCACACAAACACATGTTTCAGGTAGATCTGCAACCATTGTTGTCACTTGATACAAAAAGTAGTTATAGCGAAAAGAGTCTGATAAACTCAACCTCACCAGTTACGGGTTAAAGTGTGTCAAACTAATATGTAAAAATTTGTTTTGATTGAAATGTTGCATTAGAGTAATTTGCAAGATAAGATAAAAACAAGATTGATTTCGATGAAAAAGTCCACTGCGAATATTTTAAAACAAACATCTCATTGGTTAGGAGTCCTTGAAATTAGCACCAATAACTTTACACACCATTACAAGTTACCCGTAAATAATATCAGGACAACTGTAGTAAGTATTGCACGACCTTGAACTACCCACAATCACACACCAACAGTTCAGGAAATAAATGGGGAGTTGTTCAAAGCTTTTCAAGATAATCGCAATTAAATGTTCTATCTTGCAGCTAATAAAGCCACCAGAACAAAACAGCTTTTACGACAAATTTACAGCATTATCGTTTATCACCAGTGCTATCCCATAATAAATGTCAAATTTACAAACAACTAAAAATCATAAATCTACTGCCTGCTCTTGGCACTGCTGTCGGAATGTTCACAACCTCATGGCCACTGGGTTTCCCTTTCATCGTCAACCAACTGTCAGTTACATCAAACCTCGTGCGTATAAATATAGCAATCTGGAAGGTTCTCCACTACAATGAAAGATATAATAAGAGCTGCTCGTAGTACGGCGTAGTATCGGTTAATTTTACTCTTGGCAATTCACATGAGTCACGACTAGCAGCGTTCTTGTTGTCATATCTATTTTTTTCTCAGCAGACTTTGGGAGTAAGCATCAACAAACCAACGTACTTAGAAAATATTTGAATAAAATCATAGCAGCGACCTCCAGTACTTATCTGCTCAGATAGCAATGAGGCACAAAATGAGCCCGACTCATTTACTTCAAGATCTGTTTTATTTTGTCATGTTGCACATTGTACAAACTACCGCCAGAGCGGGCTCACTGTTATGTAAGTATTCCTCAATGTCAGCACCCGTCCTGAAAGGCTTAAGACTATGCTCGAGCAAAGCATCTAAGTCCCTTTAGCTTTGCTGGGTGGGCATGCAGTACTACAAAGTAAAGATGTAACAGTATCATAAGGATAGTATCCACTAACTCTAGGACTACCTGCAAGTAAAATTAGACTTTATTCAGTTCTGATATAGGATGGAACATATCGCTGAAACCGTATAATACCAATGAAAAACAAGTGCAGGTTCCCAAGTTCCAGGTACCTAGTCACATTGTAAAATTAATTTTTCAAAAACAAATTCTTAACTTCTTTTTTCAAATGAAAAATAGTTTACAGTTTGGTGCATTTAAACGTCTAGCTTGCATAATAGGTCAGTTCTTATACTGATGCCTTTTAAAATGAGCTATTCTGTTCCATAAACATTCAAAGATTTTTGTCTCTAGTGTTGTACTCATGACAAACAGTAACTTCCTCTTAAAAGCCCCTCTAAAGGGGTATGGCTTTCCTTCCAGAAATTACTGAAACAATCCTTTCATTGGGGCACAAATATTTTCTCAATTTCAGCTGGTTTTATACATGACATTACTGTGTAAGAGAAGAACTTTTTCGTGTAGACAATATAGCTGTAATATTGCAAAATATGCCTTAGTTATTTTTTCCAAACGCGATATGAAAATCCAGTCTACTATAAAATATGTACCGACTAACTTACAATAATCAAATAAAACGTCATATATATTCAGTTCTATATCAACTACTCGTTGGCTGTTAAATGTATCATAATAGTCATACTATCAGGTAACCAAATAAGTTCCTGCGGTTGCTGTAAATCGCACATTGCCATGTATGTCGTTGATCGACAGCGATTGTTTCTTACCTGGTATCACTTTAGTATGAATCCTTTTTTTCTCACACAAATAAAAAGTTGCTGAAAATTGTTACATTGCCTAGTTTGAATAATTGATAATGGCGACGAA